TGGGGGGGGGAGTGGTCAAGGCTGCTCCCTAAGCAGCGATGCGCCCAAGGCGGCCGCCTAGTTTGCCCAGTGGCAGCACCGGCCCTACATGAACCAGACTACCAAAATCCAAGCCCATTACTGTTAGATTAAAAAGTCAACCTTGAGCTCCAGTCTGTGACTTTGCCTAGGCTGGGATGATGCCATCAGTCTTCTGCAGGCAGGAGGAAGCATTTCCTCAGTCTCCCCTCACCCAGTGATCAGTCTTCTGCAGGCAGGAGGAAGCATTTGGCCAGTCTGGATGATGCCTGGACCAAGATGGTGCCATCCCTCTGGAGAGAGAAGCAGATAAAGGCATTGCAAGGGGGAGTACTGTGATCTCTGTATGCGATGATAAAAACAAAGAAGTGTCGCTCTGACACATCATTTGAAAGCAATGCAGTAAGAATGAACAAATATATCTAATGGTCAGCACATTGAAAGGTATTCATCTTTCCGGTCAGCACATTGAAAGGTATTCATCTTTCCGGTCAGCACATTGAAAGGTATTCATCTTTCCGGTTAGCACATTGAAAGGTATTCATCTTTCCAATCACCAAAAATTGACAGTGGGCAGTGAAATATTTATCAGTGTAAGACAGTTGAGGCTGTTTCATGGCTTGTTCGTCTCCCCCAGACAGGTTTTGGCTGCAGTAAAGAGAGCCGACAAAGTGGGGCACTTCATTTGGGTGGGATCGGACAGCTGGGGGACCAAGCTCGGCCCAATAAGCCACCTGGAAGATGTGGCCGAAGGTGCCATCACCATCCTGCCCAAGCGAGCCACCATTGAAGGTAAGACCTGTGCCATGTTACAGCAATGTTCCCGCTCAGGCCACTTTTGCTATGCTGCTACATGACTCTGTGGAGCCTTTCTTTTATCTGTCACATGTAACAAATTATTGAATTATTCCCCATTTCAGGACAGTGGGAGGAGCCATGCAAATCATTCCTGAATTGCCGGCGTACAGTGCAAATATATCCGAATATTACAGAGATATTTTTTTCAAACTGCAGAGTTTTTTCTTTATTCTTGTTAAAGCCCATGGTGGGCCCGCCAAAAAGTGCTCTAGCGTGTGTCTCAATGGGCCTCTCCCTTTTCTCCAACCTGCTACCAGCTATCTCTGAGGACTGCAGAACCCCTGTCTCAAGGTAATGGAGGAGAAGAGAAGGTTCTGTAGTCCTGTCTTATAGTGACAGCCATGCTTCTCTATAGGCAGAGTACTGTAAGGGAATGTTGTCCTCCTTGGGCAAGAAGTGTGTCACTGGCAGGTGAAAATTAGGGAAAGAGCCTGCAAAAAGAAAGCACATGCAGCCCCTACATCTAAGGACTGTTAAGGATCTTAGGTCTAAACTTCAATTAGAAACTTTCTGGAAAAATCTGTATCTGTAAAAAAGAAAGTCAAGGCAACTGGACTTGCTGTATTTTTCTTGAAGACGTTTTTCTGGTCATCCGACCAGCTTTTTCAATTCAGAATGACTTGTACAAAAATTATCTGGGAATAAATATGGTGAATGTCGCTCAAATCCACATAATCTGTTAGTCACAACCAGGAGTCGATTGTATTTGCATAATTGGAGTCTAGTAGGGGTTTTTAACCTGCCCAGAGAGAGGTGGTGAAACACCATTGTATGTGGAAGACAATAGATGTCCCCCCCCACCTCTTCTCAAGCTTGGCTTCTCCATTGTTACATAAATGGCCTCTTTCACACCTCTTTTGAACCAGTTCTCCTCCCTGTCTAGGATGCATACTTGACTATCTTCAGCAGAGTGACCTTTTTCCTTTAGATGTAGGTTCCGGTTCTCTTCCCTTGATAAATAAAATGTATCAAGGGGAGAGAGCCACAGCAATTGGCGCTCTCAGGGAATCTGCCGCTCCAGGCAAACGCCTTGTTTGCCTCGCGGCAGATACGCCCCTGTGTAGGTACACTGCTGAATCCTGACCAGAGGGTTTGGCTTTTCTATGCTGTGCCATACGCTGGTGTAGCTGCTGTTTTGTTTCACCGACACACAATTCTGAGCGCTCCTCCCCGCACTGGACTGCATACACAATGTTGTTCATCTTGTGTTTTGGGTCTTTTGGGTGAACCAGTTGTTGCCTCAGTGCATTGCTGGGTGTAAAGCAGACAGGGATGTGATGTTTTAAAAAAAAAAACCTTTCTGGAAAAATCTGATTCTCAGGTTCAAATACATTTCCATACATTTTGTTGGTCGGCGTGTTACATTGTACATTGCATGTTCTTCAGGGTTCTTGCGGCAAGACGATTGCATGGGGATTTCAACCAAATGTATGGAAATGTTTTTGAACCCGAGGATCAGATTTTCCCAGATCTTCAAAAGTTCCTCATTAAAGTTTAGACCTAAGATCCTCCCACCTATCATCCACTGTGCAGTAAGACTGCCTCCGTTGTTGATAAGGGGTGATATGTTAGAAGAGCTTATAATCAGGAGACGGAGCCATTGATAACAAAGCAAAAACCAGGGCAGGCGTGGAGAAGAGCCTTACCAAGGAAGCACCTTGTGGTGTCTCCTCTTGTCGGGGATCTGAACACTTCCAGGTGGCACTGGAGCATATCCTGCAGTTCCAGTGCTCCCCTGCAGGTGTCTCCAGGCAGCCAGTGGCTGTCAGGGACCTGAGCGCCTCCAGGTGGCACTGTGACACTGGAACCAGGTCTTGCACTTCCAGGGCTCACCAGGTGTCAGCAATTAGGCACCACCTGGTGCTGATCTGGGAGGGTATTTAATCCCTCCCTGCAGTGAGCCTGGTGCCACAGTATTGGTGCCATTAACTGTATCCTGTTGCCTTAACCTGTGACCTGTTTCCTGTTTCCTGTATCCTGTTGCCTCCTTGAACCATGACCATTGATCTGTGGCTCCCCTCTTATTGCACTGCACCCCAGGTTCACTTACCCTGTTACCTTTTGTGTGTGCTTTTGTTGTTTGCATTTAGTTGGCTATTATTTGTTGCTTGTGGTTACTTGTTTTCGGTGTGTCTAATAAACTGTAAGCTCATAAGCATTGCCCGGCGTGGTCACACATTTGGTCCTCCCATATAGATACCTGTATGCGGTGTGGGGACACCCATGCACGGTATCCTGACACCTCTTAGGCAGAACTTTTACATTCTAAAGTTTAAATTGGCCGACAGTTTCACTTTAAGCCGGCATTCAGCTCTTTAGGAAGACGCCTCTTCTCAGACTCATTACCGAATCCCGCCGCTCCGAAACCGGAGCCTCCTGACTTCCGATTCCGCAAGAATTTATTGAACGCCGCTGAAAGTGCTCATGACATCTCCAGCGTCAGCTTGGATGGGGACAGACAGTTCCCAAATAATGAAGGAACATCGAGCAGTGATTAGAGGAGAGCAAGTCAAACGGTGCTGTCAAATGAAAACTTCAATGTTCCTCTCCCCGCTTCGGTTTCTATGGAGACTTGCTCGGCTTCGGAGCAAAAAGATATATTAAAAAAATGCAAAGTTCATTTCATTAGGCACGCAGCTCCGAGAGGGCAAAATATCTGAATTCTCCGGGATCTAAGCGCACGGCCGTCCAAGTAATAACCGTGACCTGGAACTTCTGGACTGCCAAATACATTCTCTCTCATTGAAATAACTCAGATTAAGTGCGGGGCATTAACCTTCCTTCCTCCTGTTTTTCATAATTAATTCCGACTGTGTAATTTGTGGGTGTTTTCCCGGTGGGGAGAGCGAGTGACGGAAATATCAGAGTCCAAAGGGGGAGGTCTGGGTCGTGCTAACCGAGCGACGCATGAAAGGAAAGCTTTTTTCGTTTGCCTGACTCAAGGACGTTTGCTAATATATTCCGAGTTCAGAGAGGGGAAAAAAAAAGCTTAATCAGGCACATTTCTGCTCTTGTGTTTCTCTACTCCGTAGATGTCTCATCTCTCAAATATCATGTTTCCACAAGAATCCAGAGAGGGCAACGGGGAGGAAAATAGATTGTCTTTTAATAATCGTCACCTTGACTTAGGCGGAAAGCAGAGTTTTTATTGCAGAAGGTTAACATGGCATAGATAAAGAGGCAGAAAGGTAGATAGCTAGATAGATAGACAGACAGACAGACAGACAGACAGATAGATAGATAGATAGATAGATAGATAGATAGTTGATTGTGTTGACCCTGAAATCCAGACAGTGCTATTTTTCCCAACCGGAATCCAAATTTCAGTATTATTCTTGGTGGTTTGGTTGCCCAAACATCTCAGACGTCTTCTGCATCTGCTGTTCCTTGAGCCCCCAAAGCGTGACTGCCAATGCCACCAAGTCCCCACCTTTCGATCTTCATATTCCTGGTAGAACTTTTTTTTTTTTGTTAGCAGCTGCTACTGCATTTTGTGAGTTCCTCAGACTACATCCAAATTTTTTTAATTGTTTTGGCCCCATCAACTTGTCAGGGAGGGCTGCCAGGAGCTACCTGGTTCGGGTTTACACTGACTTCAGTGGAGCTTTTTGGTTTCAAAATTCTACATTTCTGAGGCATTTGAGGTTTCAAAAAGTTCAGCAAAACTACAACTGATCGAGCTTTCAAGTTTTACATTTGATCATCTGTGATAGATAGAGATAGATAGATAGATAGATAGATAGATAGATAGATAAATAGATAGATACATAGATAGTTGATTGTGTTGACACTGACATCCGGACAGTGTTATTTGTCTCAACCGGAATGCAAATTTCAGTATTATTCTTGGTGGTTTGGTTGCCCAAACATCTCAGACTTCTTCTACATCTGCTGTTCCTGAACCCCCTTAGCTTGACTGCCAATGCCACCAAGTCCCCAACTTTCTATCTTTGTATTCCTGGTAGAATTATTTTTTTGTTAGCAGCTGCTATTGCTTTTTTCAAAAAGTTCAGCCAAACTATAACTGATGGAGCTTTCAAGTTTTACATTTGATCATCTGTAATAGATAGATAGATAGATAGACTTAGTGGCCAATGTATTGAATATTTTGTATATTCCTATCTAGTATTTGGTAGGGCCCCCTTTTGCCTTTTGGACAGCCTTAATTCTTTGTGCCATGGACTCAATAAAGTGTTTGAAATGTTTCTTAGGGATTTGGGTCTACATTGACAAAATAGCATTACCCTTACACCACCACCACTGACACAAGATGAGAAATATTCATGCTGTGTAAGCCCAATGCTGACCCTACCATCAGCAGTAGCCCTGACTCATTGCACCAGTCTTCAGTCACTCAGTTTTGGTGATCTGTAGCCTCATTTTCCATTTCTCAACTGACCGCAGTGGATCCCGGTGTATTCTGCCGTTGTCACCCTTCCTGTTCAAGGTCGCTCATGTTTTGTGTTCAGAAATGGCCTTTTGCACTGCAAAGAGGGATTACTGCAGCACCTGCAGACTTCCTGTCGGCTTGAATTAGTCACGGTGCTCACTAGATGCTTGTTGTTTATTGTTTTCTCCAGACACCGTGATGTATAAATGTTCCAAGAGGTTAGCAGGTGAAACCACCATGTCTTGTTATCAATCATTATTTCATGGTCAACCCTCTACAGATCTGACATCTGGCCTATTTTAATGCTCTTTGAGCATCAACTTAACATCTTGGCTCTATCTGCATGGTTTGTCTATGGAGCTGCAGATACTTGAATTGGCAAAACTGAGGTTTAAATTTTGGTTGGACATTAAAAGGACTAATAACATGTTGGCAATGGCATCTAAGGTTTCTCATGGGTTTCAGGCAAAGCTCTTCCCACCATCTCCATCCCTTCTCTGCTCCAGTGTCTCAAACTTCTCCTTCGTTGTAGTTCTTTGCTGAG